CTGAATAAAATTTTTAAGTTAAGTAAAAAAAAATTACATTTATAACATGATATAGGAAACGAAAAAGTAAACAATGACCCACCCCCTCTATAAGTTGACCACTTGTCTAAGTTGACCACTAAAACAATGCACCACAAGTGGTCAACTTACACAAGTTTTACTGTATATATTTTAAAGTGGTAGTTTATCAATTGTGATTCTTGGCTTAATAAATTCAATTTAGTAGATTTTTATCCACCACTATTTCTAAATAATTCGTAGGCTTATGTAATTCACCATTTTATAGTAATAATGCCCTTTAAAAAGCAAGCAAAAATAGTCAAGTAATTTACAAAATTTACTTCGTAGTTATTTACCGTTTATTTTTTTAATAATTATTTTGGTGTGTCCGGAGCAGTTGGCATCTCTGCAGTCTCTAGCCATTTTCGAAAAACCATGTTATAAAACAGCAATAAAAAAACAAAACAGAAATACAGGAATGAACAAACGGGTATTTTTAAAAATTAGTTTTTATTACGTGTTCAAAGACCTTGTATAGCAAGTAGTCGGCTCCAGTCCGTGTTTTTACAATAAAAATGTATATAACGTACCTCTCACCAATAGCTGTACATTATTTCAATCACACTAACTACAAGAAGAAACCAATTCATTGATGCTGTAAATAAGATACAAGTGCTCTTTCCGCAGCAGTAACAATAAAAGATTAAAACTGCATTCAAAACAAGTTCAGGTGCATTGACTAGTTAGCCTACTACGGAAATCAAGGTCAATGATTGCATATCTTTTTTTTTATTTCGTTTCTGCACAAAACACTACCTTTAATTTTCACTGGTAGGCAATGTTTTTCTTTTTTTTATACAAAATGTTTTTACAGAACTATCTTACAATGAACAAAAACCGGGAGGCAACCAAGGCTCACCCGAAAATAAATAGATCGCATTTTTTTCGGGACAAATGCACATATAAACAAATATACAATAATACACGTTCACATCAAAGCAATTTCATTTCCTCTGTTTATTTTGGAAAAGTTTTATATTCAGCAGCACGAGTTAGCTGTTATTTTATTTTCATATAAATATAATTCAGTGGTTTGCATAATTTAATTTATAGGCAGCTATAGTATCAATTGCATCCGAGGTTTTCTTTTTTATACAAAACAATTATAAATTTAATAAAAATATAAATACAACAATTGCAATAAATAAAGTAAAAAAACACACATCTAAAAATTCATCATTCATTTTCTTGAACCTATTATAAATATATTAGTAAACACAACATGTTTGGAATCCTAAAACAACAATTAATTAAATAAATACAGCCATGAAAATGTTATATAAGGCATTGTTTGCATATTTTAGTTCATTCAGTTTTGCATATTTTAGCTTATTCAGTAAAATATATAATAAGTCAACAAGCTGGATGAAATAGTTGAAGAGCTTAATATATAGGAAAATGTTAAGTGAAATTTTGGTAAATTTCAGGAGAGTTTAATATCCATTAAAAAAAGCTGCTGTTTAGAATACAAAACAACTTCTTCATCAGAAAGCTATTAACAAAGCAAAACATCGTTATCATCAAGAATCCATTAACAAAACAAAACATCTTTATTGTCAGGAAGCTGTTTACAAAACATCGCTTCCTTTGAAAACAGATTTATTAAAGACTTAGAATAAATTAAAGTCCTTTATTAACATTGATAGTAATATACTTTTGTGTTCCCTAAATGTTACTTAACATTTTTGTTTACAAAAAGCTCTTCAATTCATGCATAAAATAAAATTGTAGAAAAATATGAATTTATTTCTTATACATTCAAGCAACATTAATTTTTTTGTCCAACTAGCAACAGGAAAATTCTTAAGCAAAAAAATTATATTTTGTCATGATATTAACATTATAGAAAACACGAGGCCATCACTTCGAAGTATTTAGTTATTGCTTTAGAGAGAGTTGCCATATAAGATTATTAGAAAAATATTAAAATATAATGTAGCAATATTCTGAAAAGCTACATTTGACGTATGTCATAATAACGGATGTTTTCATATATGAAGCATATTGATAAATGGGTACTGATATAATTCTTTATTTTTAAAATTTTAAGACTGTTTTCAAACATTTTGAATATTTAGCGTATCATTAAAATGAAGTTCAGTACATCAATAAATATATTAAAAATATCAATAGATAAATTATAAATAAATTAGCTTAACACACTACACATACTTTGAAAAATTAATAACATTATTACTCAAAAAACAGTAAAAATTTTTACTTCCCCCAAAAAATTTATAGAAATCCGTTATTTTTTATATTAAAATTTTATACCATTTACAGAAAAGTAAACAAAACTACCCTTTTAATTATTGCCAAAGAAACTTTTATAATAATACGCTATTGATACCTATTCGGTTAATTTTATTATCCAAACTTTATATATGTATATACATTTGAAAAGACTAAAAATAATTTAATTATATCTAAGGAGAAATCATAAGAATATACTAATATAGATAGGGAACTTCTAACTAATATAAATAGGGGAAATACTACATAAATATTTGAACATTTAATTATTCAGTTAAAAACTTTTTCAGCATAAATTTCTTTTGCTATTAAATATTATTACCAGTTTTTAATATAAAAAATTATCAATCGAAAAAATACTTTTTAATAGCAACTCAAATAAACATTTTAATAAGAATGAAACTATATATTTTAAGATATATTAAAACATTTTGTTTAAAAATATGCTTTAAAATTCTGGATGAAAAATTAATTAATTGCAGTTAAACATAAAGAAATGTATCACATTATAATTCAATGAGCTTTTCCTAACATCGCACAAATATGTTACAATACATTGCTGACTTATAGGTTTATATATAATATATAGAGCGCTAGCAATACCACTCACAATTCACACAATAACATTTTTTAATATTAACTCAAATAAAAAATTCTCGAAAATTATGGATTAAAATAAAATGGAAAACAAAAAAAAAAAATTTTTTTCTTTTTAAGAAACAGTAAAATAATATTAAGTAACTAAATATTATTCACTTTATAAATAATTTTAAACAAAAATCAAGTAAATGAAAACTTTCTGTGCATAATTTCATTTTTCAGTTCTTTTTGTAAAGAACCATCAAAATTTTTACTTAACGAACAAGACAATTTTGAAATGTGCATTATTTTAAGGCACAAATGCAGTGTTTGTGCTATAAAAGTATACAGTTAGTCATACAAATGTTATTGCTAATCTGATTATGCTTATCACCCATAACAGCATATTAAGTTTTTTAAATCGTCTAAATTAATGGAAAACTAATTTACTTATAAAGTTTTTTTAATTTATAAATAAACCGTATCTTGCCAGTGTTAAGTTTTTATGCCACAATTAGCATATCATTTTGATTACTTAACCTAGATGTGCAGGAAAATTTTGCATTTTAAACCTTACTATAACAAGTGTCTATTTTTCAATTTATTTACACTCAACTAGTTAATTCATCAATAAATATGTCTAATAACTAGACTATAAAACATACCTTAAGCAAAAAGCCAAAAAAAAAATCAAGAGTCTTATTTTGAGTCAATTACTTAGAGATAAAATTGACTATGTCTGAATTTTTAATATCCCAAAAAATTATAAGGAAATATGGTGATAATTTCTTAATTTCCCAAATAATCATTATTTTCTTAATAAACAATATTTTTGTAACTTTAAATAAATTATCATTCGGAAAAAACATTGCATTTGCTAATAATAGATATCAATAATATTTCCGATATTATAGCATTTGGTAATAATCTTTTTTGGAAATATTACGAACTTTATTGTATTGGCTAGTTATTGTTTTTAATAATAATCATATAATCAATGTCAATAAGTATCATACATTTAATATTTATCAATGTAATATCAAAAGAAAATTCAAGTTTCATGATATATCGCCAAGCTTTAAAAAATACATGCCTACTGTTTAAAATTTTTTGAATAACAAATGTAATACATGAATAATAAACTTTAAACAATATTTTGAGTACAATTATGAAAAGTTTCTAATTTAGCATTGGTATTAGTTTGAATTCAAAGTTAAAAACAATTTTTATATTATCCAAGAAATGATTCTGAAATAAAATAAACTTGCTTTTTAATACCACACACATCTTTACATTTATACATGAAACAAGTGATATTGAATTGCGATTTATTTTCAACGTGTGATGCAACAATGCTATTTAAGAATAAAAAATCTTATGTGCAATAATCTTAAACTGTGTATTCAGTGTAAATACTATAAAAAGAAACATTCATTTAAATATCTTGGAGGAAATTGAACAGCTTATCATTACCAGGTCTAAAAATAGTAATTATTTTATGAAAAAGATAGAAAAAAAATAGTAATCTTTTCAGTTCAATGACTTTGAAGTTTATGTGAAATTATGGAAAATAAATTGCTTGATGCAATGATATAATGGCAAAATTTAATAAAGAAATACCTTCCGTTTACATTTATAATATAATGCTAAAAGAAACTATTGCCTGATAATACCTACAAATGCTTTCAAAATTAATTTCAAAGAAATATTAATTATTTCAATTAAAACTGTAACCGATAAAATGCTCAGTGAAGTAACACTCAAAACATAAACAATGAGGTTAAAAGCTTACAGTAAAAAAAAAGGTGAAAAAGAATAAATAAAAGCTTTGGCACGAATTTATGAATAAAAAGTAACAAAAAAAATAAATTTTGTTAAAAAATTTTTCAGAGCCTCCACGTAAAATGTAAAAATGAATAAAATTATATGGCCTGAATATAATATCACATAACTGGTGAATTTTAAAATATAGAATTATTGAAGGAATATGCATAAACAAAGTTGCTGAGATAAATTGTTTTGTCCATTTAAAAACAATGAAAGATTCATTTTTTTTAATTGAACAAATTAAAGAAAAACACATGAACAATAAAATAAATTACATGTAATCAGTGTAGAACACCAATTGTTTTATTGTAACTTAAAATAGCTTGAGCATTACAACAATTTGATCTTGAATATAAAGCGTTCTTTTTTTTTTAATCTGTAAAAAAATATTTAATTTCAATAATAAAAACAGCAGTTTTCATTAACCAAAAATTTAGCTTAAAGCAAGCTGAAACTGACATATTTCATCTTGCCATGTTCTATAATTGAAGTGCAAAGGGCAATATAGTTATACGCCACATTTTTGTATCAATTTGTTCCTTAATTTCATAACCAGATAGGTGTTTAACAAATTCCTAGATAGCAGCATGATCTTCAGGCATATGTGGAAACTGATGTTTTCACATAAAGACTTTCTTGAACAATTTTGAAAAGTGGCTTATCATTAAATTGCCATTAGCCTTTCAATGCAATTTTGGGCAAATTTGCAGCACATTAAATTGTAACATTAATAAAAACTCTATCAAGTGCCTACATTTAATATCTAAAAATTGTACATATTTTTGGAATGGAAATTTGTATCAAATCTGGAAAGTGTTTTATATTTAAAACCTATCATTGTTATAACTTTCAGTCACAATTTTATTTTTAACCTAGAAGTTTTGGTGTAGTTCTGGTTTTACTTGCTAATTTTATAAAATGCTGATTAGTGAATCAAGAGTAAAAAGTTTGATCTTAGGGTGATTGTGAGTTTCAGTGCTTGAAGAAAAAACATTTGTTGAAAGAAAAATGATTGAATTGTCAGTCATTCCAGAAAAAAGCTTCATGTGACACAACAATACAAATACTCTACTTCTCCACACTTAGTATTGCCATGATGAGATTCCTTGTGTAAAACAGAACTATTTCTATCAAAAAATTTACATTTAACAAATAATTCTACTCATATATATATTTATATCTTTGCATATATTGATAGTTTGCCATTGTACACAAGCTGTTTCAACTCTAAAAGTTTTTCAAAAAAGAAAAAAAGGAACAAGAACATTGTTTCTATAGTGCATGCATCACAGAAATAAATTATAAAAATGGTTCTAACAAAATGAAATCACTATTAAAATCATCCCCGTAACGGAACATGCAAGAAGCAAGGGGCAGGCGATAACAATGACGCACTCGTCGAGGATGGATAACAAAAAAAAAGAGGGCGAATTTTGCTATTTTGTCACAAATAATAAGCACCATGGTTTCCATCGTAAGGGAATAATAGAGAGGAAATGAAACACATTTACACACTTTACACAACACACACAGCCCTTCAATATTTACACACGGAAGATCACAGATGAAAATGAAAATAACGACGAGCATCGTTCGTGATGCTACGGTTGCGGATAAGGTTTTAAGTACACATCAGCATTTATTTGCATTCAAGTGGAATGATATGCAACCGCAACCAAACTTTTGTCCTGGCATGCCGGTGGGATAATCTCAGATTGTGGAATTAGGCCCACATTATGAAATATATCCAATAATCTGATATGTCAAATATATACAAAAACCAAATTTCTTCTTATTGTTGACTAATCTGGTTATCCCAGATAGGAACAGATGCCATCGATGAGCATATGGTAGGCCGGCAGGAAGAGCCAATGACACCAAAACGGCGACACACTGATGTGAGGACAAAACTGCCTCATTTGCAATGGCACCTGTTGTAGATGGGGTCACTGCACTGAATATTGTCATCAGTAAGCGACCACACAAATTTATTTTGAAATCCTAGTGAAGCTAATTTGAGCTTTGCTATACCAGAAAACCTTCAGACATGTTTGCATTTAGCTGAGCTCTCATTGTCTGGATACTGTTGATGATTTTCTTCTGGTGACCAACTAGAGTCACACCCAAAGCTGTCAAGTCTTTCAGTGTGATCCTAGTGACTGCATCCATGGTCGTGATACCTGCCTGCTGAAAATTCTCCTGATAGCGGTTCATCTTGATTCCACTGAGCCACTCGTCAACGGTTTTGAACTGTGTCATGTCAGGAGCATTGGGGTCCAGTGGATTTTGATGCCTAAAGAATAAAAGACTTTAATACCCCAGGCAGAAATAATATTAACAAATTAATAAAATATTAATTAAATTTCCAGAAATCACAATTCTATTATACACACACACACACACACACACACACATATATATATATATATAGCTCATGGGCTGCAATAGCAGCACAACTCCACAACTCAAAAAATCAAGTTTTGAGATAAGTGGGTTTAAAGTTTTCATTGCTAGTGAAAATGCATAAGAAATGCTTTAGTTTGCTTAAACGAAGATTACCATCAAGTTGAATTATGAGTTGTGTTAGTATTGCTGCTGAAAAGAATGTGTATTATAATATTTACAACTGTTCTTAGTCCAAAACAAGTGTTCTTTGAGTTGTGCCACCATTGCAGCCCATGAGCGATATAAAGATTTAAAAAAATCAATTGTTCAAAAATTACTCTTAACCCCTCTTTTCCAAGAAGATTTTAGTGAATTTTCCTAATCTTGGTAAAAGTTTCAAATTAATGACAGTTTTGTCTTATTCTAAACCATAGAATATATATCAAAACACTTATATGTCCCATTGAAGTTAAAAACAAATTCAGAAAAAAAAATATTAAAAACTATTTTTTAGGGGGGGGGAATTCAATATTTAGTAACATAAATTAATTTATTTTCCCTGGCGTTTTCACATTTTAAACAAATTTGACTGTTTCCAGACCAATGTAGTCCCTTAAATTTTTCCAAATCATCCTGATTTCTCTGTTTAGCGGCTATTTTGTTAAAATACGATGATTATGATTGGAAAATAAGCTCTTAAATAAGACTAACACCCACCAGAATGAATTTTCCCCCCACTCCATAGCACTCTTATACATGAAATACAAATAAGAGGGTTTTAATTTTAAACAACTGCAAACAAAATGATAATTTGTTTTATAAGTGCACCTTTCAGTAATTTTTTTTACAATTAAAATCAAGAACAAGGTCTTTCTATTAAACTATAACTGCAAAACTAATCCAAACTTAGACATTTTTTCTCCCTCTGCTCTTTTTTGCTTTCATTCAGAGAAGTTAGAAACAGCAGAGCTGTTAAATCAGAAGTTGAAGCTTAACTCTGAACTTTTCTGAAAGTTTAACTCAGACTTAATGTTTGATTAAAACTTTCATTAAATACAAAGAAAGTAGTGATATTGTTACTAAGTAAATAATATTTCTGAATTATATATTTATTTTTTAATGAGAGATTTCGGAATACAAAAGGTGAAGATCAGGTGGTTCATTGTCATACTGAGGAAAAGGTTGCTTGGAAACTTCCTTAAAAGAAAGCTTCAATTTTGATGATTACTTATTCATTTATTATTAGAATACGGTTAAAATTTACATAAGAGTTTAAATTAACATAACTACTATGACAAATACATACTAAGACTATTACATAACTACTATGGTTCCTGGATCAAGTATTGGCGGAAATTTGAGTTGTGGAGAATATTTTGATGGAACTAACCCGCATTTGAATTACATGGAGAGTAAAACCACAAAAACCTCCACGGCTAGTCTGACGGCAAGGGGACTCTAACCTATGATCCATCTACCACTGAGGATATTTTATATTAGCACTGTGGTCGGTGCAAAGCGGACGTGGAATTTCCTATCAACCAGTCATCACTGGTATTCAAACCCAGTTCACCTCATTGGAAGGCGAACGTTCTATCCCCTGACGCACCACGGTGCAATATAATATATAATAATCATCTGATATGACCTAACTTTTAATTAACTATAATAGGCATCAAAGAAAAAAATTTTTTAACTCCATGATTTCAGCTCAACAGCCTCAGCATACAGGAATTACTTCTCTGCCTTTAAGTAGTTCTAAGTGAGTCACTAAACCTCAGAGAGTGAATTGCTATTCACTAAATTTATTAATAAATAAAACATTTTAAATACTTTAGATTAAGGAAAAAATATTATAGAGTTACTAAAATTATAAAGAATGCAAATGTTTCCAAATTGGCTTTTAGTGTTGATTGGATGCTTTTACCTGTTCTGAGCAATTTTCTTCAAGCTTTCTGGACACCTCATTAACTTATCTAATGTTTTCACAATAACAGCAAATGTAGGCCTGTGAGCCCGCTCCTTTTGCCAGCAATCTAGCATTAGCTGATGTAAAGCTTCAGGACAATCCTGAAACATAGAGGTCAAGAAATACATTTAAAAATGACATCCTTCATTGATGACTAAACATTTTCAAAAAATTTTGTGCATTCCTCAAGAAATAAATTTGAAATAGAAGATTCTAGATCTAGGAGGAAAAATTCAATATAAGATCTAAACTAAAAAAATTAGTTTAAAATTAAGCTACAAAAAGATCTTTCATTATTCAATCATCTCTTAACCACTACAATGTTTAAATCATTAATTACTTTCAAATATTACAAAAACAAATAAATAAAAAATTATTGAAAAAAAAAATTTTTTTTTAGCAATATTTAAAAAATTTCTTTAAGTGCTTAAATAGCTTGTGCACAAATAAGCACAGAGAAATACAATAAATAACATAAAAATGTATCAAATGGTAAAACTCTAATTGAATTTAATAGATTTGAAATCAGAAAGCAAAATTGATCTCATTTTATAAAAATTAGCTCATGAGCTAATTCTAATTCATTTCTGAGTTGAAATTTAAAAAGAAAAACATTGCTAACATATAATTAAAAATAAATTACAAATGTTATATAATTGTGGTAAGTAAAATTTGAATTTTCTCAAGAACAGTATTGAGAAAGGTATTAATGAGCATAAATCTTTTACTTTAAATGCTAAATCTTGTACTATAAGAATTTAAACTGCCAAACATGCTACTTCCCAGCTTAAAAATAAAAGCAAAATCCTGTTATAGTGTTAAATAAAGATAATGTAGCTAACTAAATATTAACTTCACACTACACTGAAAGTAAGACATTCACTTCGGAGTTCTATCCAAAATTGTCGTCAATAGCTCGCCAGTGTAGCATTAAGTGACATTAATGCTGAAATCAACTTTACAAGTTTATTTAAATATAAAATTGTTTCAAAACAGTTTATCATGCTTTGTGTTAAAGGTTAAGATAATCGAAATCAATAATATAGAATCAGGGTAAAACTCTTTGGGATAATAAAATAAAATATAGATAACCACAATTGTTCATAAATGTATTAACTTCACAATCTTTAAATTTAAAACCAACCGAAATTGACAAAATTGTTGGAAATTTTTTTTAATTGCTCTTGATAACTTATATTTCTTTTATAAATAATCTGTACTTAAATGCATATTTTAGTGTTTTTAAGCACTTTTATGTAAAAATTATTTCACGGCATTAATATTGATATGTTGCCAAAGATACATTGCCATGTCAAGAACAAGTATTATAAAATTTTTCTATTTTAAATAAAAAACAACTAAATAAAAGAAATGTTTATTTCGTGCATAATATGAGTGGACTCCTTATAGTTTTATTATCAACAATTAATGAAATAACAAGTTTACCATCGGCGCTGGAAGTCTGTAACCCTTTTCAATACTTTTTATCACGTCTTGATTTGACCAGTTCCAATAAGGCCTCTCACCATATGACATCACTTCCCAGAATACAATACCATAACTCCAAACATCACTGGCCGAAGTAAATTTTCGATAAGCTATAGCCTCAGGGGCTGTCCATCGCACCGGAATCTTACCACCCTAATGGAAATAGACAATAGTTATAACTACTAAGAAGAAAAAAAATAGCTTAAAGTTGCTAGTTAAAAATAACAGTTAATAATAAAAATCTAGTAAACAACGTTTTGACTATGTAATTATTGGAAGTAGTTAATCCACATGAGTAGTAATATTACTTTAGTAGTAGTTTTTTTTATTTACTTATTTATTTATTAATTTTTAGATATTATGTTTAAAATCTAAACAATGGTAAGTAACTAGACAAAGAATTTCTTCCCAATATTTTTTGAAAATATTGTTAAAAAGAACTTTATTTATTAGCCTTCCAAGCATATACGTACTTGATTTTAAACAAAAGATGATAGAACTATACATAATAGAAAATAACAAAATTTACATTTATATTATTAACTATTTTAGGTTTACATAATTTCTTTTTTTTTAAATATCATGCAATTTTAAAAATTTTATTCTCCAAAATGCACGCAAAATATGATAAAAAGAGATACTAGAAAAATTATGAGTTTCAAAAATTTATTTATTTTTTTAATAACTTATGTACGTTATTTTAAATATTTGTAACATTTGTTTAAAAAAGTTCTTACTCTTGTGGTATATGCTCCTTCTGTAGCGCTTTCTATTTCTCGGGATAGCCCAAAATCTGCTATCTTGCAAATTAAGTTGCCATTGACTAAAACATTTCGAGCGGCAAGATCCTAAAAAAGTTAAATTGTCAAAAATTATAAATGTTCTTTTATTGCTCTAAAACATTTATTATAAAAATACATTGAAATGTAGAATAGTGAATAATAATAAATAATTACAATACTTACCCTGTGCACATAATTCATTTCTGCTAAATATTGCATTCCAGCTGCAATACCTCTAAGCATACCAACCAACTGGATAACTTGAAATTTGCCATCATTAGCCTAAATGAAACAAATAAATTTAAAATTCCTGAAACATGAAATTTATCAAACAAATCTAATTTAAGAGACATTTTTTAAAAGAATAAGGTTACTAGATGAAAGATCTTATTTTAGTTTTATTCAACCATACAACATTAGATTAATTTTGCCAAGTCTTTTAACTTCATAGATTTCAATAAATGGAGGCAATTTAATTTAAATTACATAATTTTTAAATTAACCATCTGCTAACGGATGGTTAACATGTGGATCCCATGTGATGGTACAACATGGAACACCGCAAGCAAAGGTTAATTTGAAAGGGTATTTACATAGCTAATGAACAATTAAAAGTTGAAACATACCCTTAAAAATGTGTCCAATGATCCATTTTCCATGAATTCAGTTATAATCATCACAGGATTACTTTTGGTAACAACACCTTGCAAATATATAACATTGGGGTGATCAAACTGTCCCATAATACTGGCTTCAGTTAAGAAGTCCATGCGAGCCTTGTCTGATGAGCTTGGTTTCAGGGTTTTTATGGCCACACTTACTTCTGTTTGACCTTGAAGTTTCAACCTACCTTTACAAACATCTCCAAACTCACCTAGGAAGAAAAAAATCACGCAAATAAATACATAGTTTATCAGAGGTTGCTTAAAAATAATTTTTTGATGCCAATCCTGAGAACCCTTTTTAGTGTTTTAAGTAGTAAATTTTACATACCCATTAAAAATATTATCCAAAATACTTAGAAATACATTTTAATATTTTAAGTAGTATTTTTTACATACCCATTGAAAATATTTTCCAAAGTATATAGAAATACTTTTTAATACATTAAGAAGTAATTTTCAAAATATTTAGGAATACTTTTTTATATATTAAGTAGTAATACTTACACACTCATTGAAAATATTTTCTAAAATATTTAGAAATACTTTTTTAATTTAATACTTTTAAAGTAGTAATTTTTACACACCCATTAAAAATCTTATCAAACTATTTTTAGAATTAATTTAAGAAAAATGGAAAAAGATAGAAACACAATTTTCAATAAAAAAAATTTTTGCATTAATTTTAAAGAAATACTATCCAAGTCAAATTATATCATTTCAAACTTAAATAAGCAGAATTTTCAAAAAGATGTGCATGCAAGCCCAATGAAATGTTGTGTACATAACATTTATTGTATAAAATATAAATAATTCAATTGCTAAACTGTAATTTAAAATAGCGTTAAACCATTTAATAAAAAAAACTGCACTGTTAGAGGTTCTAAAACTAAATTATGTTCCATTACAGTTCCAAGAAGTTTGCACATAACAAGAAAAAGATTTATGTACATCGTAAAAAATTTTTAAAAAAAAGTAAATAAATAAATAAATAATGGAAAAGATTTTTGTAGATTTTAGAACTTTAAAGAGCCAAACAACTTTGGAGTACCAAAATTCAAGTCTTCAGAATTTATAGAAAAATATTTCCATTAATTCAATACTCTTTCTGTAATGTACAAAAAATAAATTAACAAATAAATAATAATATTTTTTTTTAGAATTGTTTAATCGTTAAACTGTTTTATTTTTAAACTTTCTCTAGTTTTATAATCAGGATTTAAATTTTTAATAATTGCAAAAAAAATTAGCACTAAGTTTTGCAGTTTCCGCACTGTCAACTTTTTTACAGAAAAAAATATTATGAATTTATTCTGTTTTACCTCCCCCAATAATAGATTCAATGGTGATATGTGATGCATCAATTTCTTTAGTAAACTCTCGAACTGCTTGATTTGGATCTTCGTAAGTATGAGGATCAATATATGCTCTTGCAGCTCCGCACTGAGTAAACAAGGGAGTGGTCACTATATGAAAAAAGATTTATTACTTTTAGACATTTAAATGTATTGAAAAATGTAAAAAATAAAAAGTGCTCCATTTAATGTCAGAATTAGAAAGTTTTTTAATGCAAAAATTATAACATTGAAAATATTTATTTGAAAACATGTAAATAAGTTTCCTTTAATATAATAAAAAATGAAACTTGTACTCTAATAAAAAAATAATTTGTCTTTAGAACAATCAAATCTAGATTGAAATAAAAGTAAATTCAATGTTAAATAGCAAATAATTTAACATACACTTTTTGAAAAAGTACTCTTTTTCTAAGAATTTCAAATATATTTTCAATTTAGATATTTTTTTTCCTTTTGAAATTTGAGAACTTCTATTCTAAACTTTTGTAAATTTTACAATTTTCTTAAATAAAACCAAAAAGTTTTCAATCGGCATTTTTTTTCACTTAAATTTTTTAATGACATTTAATCTAAAGAAACAAAGTATTATGAAGAAATTTAAATTTGGAATAAATAAGTTGACGTACAGCAAATTAAAGAAAGGCAATTTTTTTTAACAACTATAGATACTGATCGTAACAATTACTAATATTAAATAATAGTTAAATATTTTAATTTGTTTATATAGTATATATTTTGTAATTCATTCAAGGCTACCATTCTAAATTTTAAAATTGTATTTTGGAGCAGATATTTAGATAAGGGGCCGTTCAAAAAGTACGTACACAAAAATGGAGAAATTTTAAGCCCCTCCCCCCCCTTGTACATTACCGTACATAAGGTCTTACTCCCCCCCCTTAGAGTACGTACATTNTTGTGACAATATATATATATATATATATATATATATATATATAACTAACTGAATATATTTCATATAGAAAAGAAATGGAAATTTGAAGACTAAAATAAATAAAATGGAAATTTAAAGATAATATAAATTCAATTTTGTTAGGATCATTTATAACATTCAATGTAAGCCAAATTTGGAGGCAACATTTTTCGATACATAAAATGGAAATTTTGTCTAAAACATTTTAACTGAAAAAATTTGCAAAGGAGTTAATAAACATTACTTTTCTAATGCAAAAAACACAATAAAAACTTTATACAACAATGAATTTAACTATATTTTACGAAATAGTTTTAGGTACTTGTATTGAAACTCTGAAACAAATTTCAAATCAAAAAACCACAACTAATTAATTTCCAAAGTACTTTTTTTTTTCAATACTTTTTTCTAATAGTCTCAAATATTTTTCTTTTAATATCTATTAATTTACCACTGATGAACTTTTTAATTAAAAGAATAAATTGAACTTCATTTCAAATGAAGTTTATTCAAAAATTTTAACAATGAATATTGGGTGTTCTAAAAAATAATTTACATATTATTTGAAAAATAATTTTAAAAAAATAAAACTGAAGAAAGAAAAGTGTGGTTTGTTGCACTCAGCTCAAGAAACTAGGAATATACTTCGCAAAATTTCAAAATTGGTTACTTAGTTCATCAATAGATGGTGCTGCAAACAGGAAGAACTATAAAACTATGTTATTTGCTACAGACCTGTCCATTCCAACTAAATTATTTAAATGAATGTCTGATTCTGTCCGGAGATTGTATCACATTTTTGGCTGAAAATGGAGGCTATTTCAGTACAATTTTTTAATAGTTTTTCTTGTTTGAAGCACAATCTGTGGACAAACTTTACATTCAATTTTAAAACTTATTAAGATGAAATGTTACTGATATTTCAGCAGGATGCAACAAATCACTTTTTGTTTTATCAAATAATCGGTAATTTTTTGATAAATCACTTTTTGTATTATCAAATAATCGGTCATTTTTTGGTAAATCACTTTTTGTATTATCAAATAATCGGTCATTTTTTGATCATCTGATGCAGCATTTATTATCTAACTCACCCATAATTTATTCGAAATCACAATGGTTAAATAAAAACTAGAAAAACGTTTAATGTAAGTAGGATATTAAAATACACACATAGAAAAAAAAAAAAAAACAGGGACATAGCGCAGATATTATTGAGAGACAGCAAAACAGCTACTTACACCATGCAGTGGGAACAATAGGTGGGTGAACAAGAGCTGGCACTACTGTTAGGGGTAGAAAGGCAGATATGTCAGTTTGTGATTCGTTTTTTTTAAAGGACTACATTTTTATTTCAGAAATGAAACTCACTCCTTTAATAATGATTACAAGGCACAGAGATATCAGGATTCATTGTATAAAAATTTTAAGCATATTGTTTCTTTAACTCATTACAGATTGAAACGCCAAAGAAAATACCTTCATAAGCACTTTACTGTTGCTCTTTGCTTTAAATTATGACTGGTTCGTGATCTTAAAATTATTATGATCAAATAAACCAGAAAGATATTAAGCTTTTATAAGTATTTCATTACAGTTCCTTGCATAAAACTATAACTGCAGTAGGATTTTTTTAAATCATAAGCAAATTAGCATTATTGTTAAATTATTATTTTGTATTATACAACATAGTTGTTATTGTCAAAATATTTTGTTGGGAAAATTTTGTGTGTTAACTAACCTAACCGTATGGCATGCCACTCTATACATGGGGAGTGCTGAATCAAGAATGAAAATGTACATGTTTAAATACATTTAATAATTTATAGTTGGAACAAATTATCATTTTATGTAGGCACCTTTAGCAATGCAAATTGCAGTATAATGGAGGAAAACCCCTAAGAAATCCAGTCGAAAGACTTTATGACAAGCAAAGATATTTAAGATTTTAAATATACATATATTGAAATAGTGCAATTAATTCAATCAAAATGATTTATCGCAGTAAACCAATGCTAGTACCTTTATTACATTTACATGTTTCATGATAAGTAGTAATTTATTTTCTAAAATTAAATATGGTTTTACGTGCCTAAAAAAGCTGATTTAAAGTCTGCAAACAAAATTTGCTAACTGATTATTAGACTGTATCATTTATTAAAAAAAATTAAAACAAAACAACAATTAAAATAAAACAATGATTATAACAATCTTTTGAAAGTAGAAATCATTTTATATCAGTCAATAATGGGTTAAAGAACTTGATAGCTTGACATTTTTAATCAACGCTGCTTGAAAGCAAAACTAATGCCTATTCATCATAAAATTGTAATTAAGTGATATACTGTGCTATGTAATTAAAATCATTAATTATTTCATAGTTTTGTTATAAGAGTGAGTAAAACAAAAAATTCTTCTGACTTCGGCAGTTTTAATCGAGGACAGAATACACCTAAACATATTTTTTTTAGAAAGTGTCAATAGTGTATATGAGTTCACAACTCAATTTATTTCATAAATCTATTATTTTAGTGAGTTCAGTATTTTTTTAATGAGTATTTGCAAAACAATTTACACTGTTAGGTGCAATTAATGGGAGTTATTTGAAAAGTTTTATTTATCGATTTAATTTTATATCAAAGGTAAAGAATGAATTAGTAACTGTAAAAACTTTTAACAGCTCTCAAACTTATTTCATGATTTATAAAGAATGAATTATTAATTAATAATTTGCAGAAAAAAACTGCAGCCAGAAAAATTTTCTGTTATAAAATTTAGGCAGAAAAACAAATTATCTATATTTCAGACAATTATGTTGTCATGCAAATATGGTTATAATAGAATGCACAGAGGATATAAAAGCAATGCTAAGCAGGGGCCATCAACCATCACCAAATATTAGCCAAGCCCAAAATTCAAGCACAGGATAAATGGACAAAACACATACAAAAAGACAATTATAAAAATTTATTTAAACATATAAAAACTGGGCTGATGGCAGAACAAAATATATAAATTTAAAAAATAAAACAAATTAAAAAGATCCTCAATGGAATTTGCATTTAGGTCATTCGAATAATCAATAGACAGTAAAAATTATATTTATATTGCAAAAATATAACCTATTTTAAAATTTTTAACCAAAGAAACTATTACAAGAAATTCTTAATCATTAAGAAAAACTTATACATATTAAACAGTTACAAATAAATAAAAAAATATCTCGCTGATTTCAAAAAAATCATTCTTACTTAATTCTTACTTATCTATACTTAAATAATTAAAGAATTTATTTCACTTTTAACACATTTTATCAAAGTGTTGATTAAGCAGAATATGAAATTTCTGGTTTGAATTTAAAAGTAAAAATCTAGAACCTGATTGAATAACAAATGAAAACTCTGGCAGTTTAAATAATTATTATCAAAAAATCATTAGAAATACCAATTTACAAACAATTAAAATTTTTAAAAATTACATACTAATTTTTAATATGGAAATTTTTATAAATAGTTATTCTAATTAAAATCAATACTTTGAATATTAAATAATTATAGAATTTATTTCATTTCAAAGTGTTGGTTAAAGGTAAAATGAAATTCCTCTTTAAAATTAAGAAATAAAAATTCAGCATGAGATTTAAAAACAGATGAAGAATCTGACAATTTAAATAATCATTATCAAAAATACCAATTTGCCGATAATTGGAATAAAGTTTTTAAAATAATATAAAAATAATGTAACAGCAGTAAATATAACTGATTTTCAAAAATATGTAGCTGATTTTCAAATCTTATAAAATGAAAGAGGAAAGAAATTAATTAAAAATTTAGTGTTCAAAATGTTTTGTATAAGAAAATAAAAGCAAAAATCCTTACATTTCTTACCTTCCCCATTTCGATATTCTAAGGTATCACAATCACTTGGTTGCTTTTTATTACACTCATCAGAGCTTCTAGAAGAAATTTGTATTTAAAGCATTATTAGTTGAGAAATAACAACAATAAATAGGCAAACTTTGAGCAATAGGAAATAAATTAAGTGAAATAAATAAAATTATTTGTGTAACTTACCTTCGAATGTAAAAGACGATGCAAACAATAACTATAATTATGAGAAGAAGTACTGCTATAGCAACTCCTGCTATGATTGGCACTTGAACTTGATCGTCAGTTACAAGTTCTATAAATAAAAATAAAGTTTCACCCAAAATACCTCATTTGAAAAACATTTTTCAGACTATTATTATTTACATTCAATAAAAATTTTCTCATCATTTACACAATTTCTAACAAGAAGAAATATAAACATTATATTTTTAAAGAAACAGTAACTAATAACAATTATAAAATGGAAAAAAAACTGTTTATAACATATTATACTGTTACTGACATATTATTAAAAAAAATACAGCAACTTCAAATATACTATAAACAACTTATCAACTATTTCATTCATATAATGAATGAAAAAATAGTTAAAAATTAAAATAATAGTTAAATTAATTTGGATTACTTATAATTAAGAATGGGTTTTTAAAAGACATATTTCAAATATTCCAGTAATATTATTACCTCTAGTTGCAAGTTTTGCTCCAGTCATTTTAAATATTGGTTTAGTGTAATCACCCCAACCATGAGTAGTTTTTGCTCGTACCTAGAAACGAGATATGATTTTAAATAATGTAAGTAAAATGAAGTACAAAAAGCTGTAAGAAATCAGAGGGGAGTAATAAATGTGTTACATTAAAAGGCAAAGAACAAAACATATTTCAAGCAATCGGAATCAACAAATCACAAAAGAGATAGTATAAATACTCATTGTCATTTGATGTTATAAAATAATACTGAATAAACAATGTAGTAAAAATAGTCTTTTATCAATAACAATAAACTAAGTTTACATTAGTAGTAAAATTTTCATGTTACATTAAAGTTGGACTGAAAAGTTATTAGGGGAAAAAGCAGTTTGCTATAAAATAATAAATTGAGCTAATTGTGGAATTTTTCATGCAATTATATTAGCAAGATTATTTTACACAAAATTAAAAACTGACTATTTTTCTAAAATGTATTGAACACATTAGAAATGGTGAACATCAAGTATCTAAACACTCAAAAGTTTTTAACATCTGAAAAAGTTCATGCAAAAAAAAAAATTTTTTACCACTTTTATTCCGGATAACATGGGAGAAAATCATCCAGATTCAAAATGCTTGAGTTAACTTACAGAGTGTAATGTTGCAAAAAGGGCCAGATTGGCTTGGCCCCTCAGTTACAAACAAATATACAACATCATCACCAACAAAAGGTCGAATTTAAGAAAATTTAAAAAATTTTATCATTTAAAAAAATTTATAGGCAAAATTTGATAGATATATTTTTGGAAAAAGTTTAAGAAGCCATCAAATGTTCACATCTTTCAGCTTCTCGCTACTGAACTCTTCCGCGTTCTCACTCTCTTCTAACAGCTCTAACCTTCAAAGAGGTAGACAGGGCCACACTGCTCTTGACTAGACAGTTTAAAGGCCTAAGTCGTTACAGTAGTTTTGGTAACAGTCAATATTGTTTATTTTTCTGAATCTTTCAAATTTAATGCTGAATATACTTCAAAAGGCTGTCTCCCTTCATGGAGACCACACCGATTCGGGTCAGGCTGCTTAAAAGCTATTTCGTTACAGTAGGATTGAGAAGAAAAAATTTAACCATCGCCATACAAAAAAAAATTTGTAGAAGATTTTATTATCGAAGTATAATAATAAATAAATAAAAATGCAATGGAATGGGATAACCTGATCTAAAAAAAATATGACAAGAATAGTTTTAGAAAATACACTATAATATAAATGAAAAGAGGCATTTACCTGGAAACCATAAAGGGTTCCTTCTCTGAGATTGGAGATGATAATATCCTCTTTCATGGTTGTAGAAATAGAACCGTTCTTTTCATGACCTTTCACAAAATACCTCACTTCATAGTTTTCAGTAACAGAGAATGGATCATCCGGAGGATCCCATTCCAGGCCGATTTCAGAGCTTTTCACTGATTTTATTCTAACATTAGATGCAATTGAAGGAACTGTAATTAAAGACAATATATAAGACAATCAACATATAAATTAAAACACATTCATAAAAATAAAGCTAAAGAATGAGTAAAGAGCACAAATAATGCTAGCTTTATTCATATACAGCACTAAGTAAAACTTTTCCACACCTGGATATTTTTAAATAAATATTGTAGCTTTTATTACCTTAAATTATATATATAAAAAAATAATAATAAAATTTTATTATTAAACATAATAAATAATAAACCCCTTTTCTTAAAACAATAAATATACTTCATTAAAAAACAGTATTAATGAGTTAAACTTGTAAGAGCAAAAAAAAAATCTCAAAAAATTACTATAATTATACTATTTCAAAACATTAAATAAGTATAAATAAAATATTATTTTATAAGTTCATTCATACACCAAATTTAACTTAAATGAAATAAAGATTTAGGTTTCATTAATTTTACTCTCTTACAATCAATAAATAGCATTTAAAATATTTATAAAAGAGAAATTAATAGAAAATTTCAAAAAATCTATCATAATTTAAAAAAAAAAAAGCATTTTTTAACAATAAAATAAATATGCTACTATGAGGCATTAAACAATTTTTGAAAACATGCTGTATTTAATCTGTAGGCTTTCATTAAATTTATTATCAAAATTCACATTTTGTAGCTCAATTTAATAAATTTTTCATTAGTAGAATATACATACACTCAGTGTGTTACATAATAACCACCCTTAATATATACTTTTAGAATGCTTGACAAAAAATTTAAAAAATATTCATTTTATTGGTCTTTAATTAAGATTTAAGTTAAGAAAATAAAACAATGCCGGAGAAATTTAAAGAAACACCACTGAAGAGACAGCAAGCCTCAAAACCTATTTGAATGCTAGAAAGTAGAAAAAAGCTGATAAGCATCATCTGTAAGACCTCCTCACAGTCCTGCCATACAATCAAACTGGTTTTGATGTGTTTTTCATAAAGTCTCCCTCACAGGAACAGATTTTAATAGCTTTCCTTTCTTCCCTTTTTAAATAATAATCTATATCTCTTAATGTGTATACCTTTTTGACTTCATTATTTGACAAGGGTTTTAGAAATATGTACTAAAGGCAGTTATAGCAAAACACCCTGCGTGAAGTATTTCTTCCTTACCTGAGGCTTCAGTAGTGATGGTGATTTCAGAAAACTGACTGTTTGTGAAGCTAGAAACTCCATTTTCAGCATATACCATAAAAGTATAGGTAGTAACTGGACTCAGCCCTGTAACTGTAACTTTTGTGTCAGAAAATCCTTGTTGAGCAGGAACGTAGGACACACCAGCACCACACTTGTCACACACAACTTTATAGAAAGTGTCATTGCGACCACCCAAAAATTTCGGAGGTAACCAGGAAAGAAGCACAGAAGACTGATCAACAAATGTCTCTGATAAATTTTGAGGTTGGGAAGGTGGTTCTAAAAAATAGAATGTAAAAATTAAATTATACATAACAGCAAAATAAAGTATGAAAAACAAACTATTATATTAACTATGAATTTAGGAAACTAATTGTAAATGAACTTAGATATCAATTTTCTTTGAAGAATAACTTCTTTTTTTTTTAACCAACATGAAACTAACTATTTCATATAGTTTACAGATGGGTACCAAATGCATGGGGGAGAGTGTGTATCTGATCCCTCAATAATTAAAAATCTCAAAGAATATCCCCATAATATTTTGGAGGGGAAAAAAATCAGGTATTTTTATCAATTTAAATTTATCTAGTGTAAAAACAAGATTCAAGTTATTTTAAAAGCTAATCATTTTTGCAGATTTAGCAGATGGAATTTTCATTCAGACCCTCTCAAAAATTAGACGTCTTAAGTTCTAATAAACTTTTCCACAAGTTTAGATAAACATTAAAAGAATAATAGAAAAAAAAACTACACCAATTGTTTGGTCATCAACTACGCCATTTGACAATAAATAATAAAAATAATACCAACAATCATTATAATTATAAATGGATTTTGACTATCAATTTTTTTTATTTAAGTATAGTTTTTTTTTAAAGATATGCAAAAACTTATACATTTTATTTACTTTAACTAAATAAACGCTGAACTAAATACATTTTTAAATTTTCAAATAGACAAAAAAAAAAAAAAAAAAAAAAAAAAAAAAAAAAAAAAAAAAAAAAAAAANAAAAAAAAAAAAAAAACTTTGTTGGTTAACAGTTTAAACAGATAGGTAAAACTGTAAAAAAGCGCACAGAGAACAAGCAATTATAAAAATAGAAAGGAAAAAAAAATTGAATTTCCAAATTGTTTTTTGTACGCACTTTTCTATAGATTTACAAAGCAAGTTTCTTACATACATTTCCATCCAAAGTACAAAGCAATAAATGCACAGTGTTGATTTATTTCTGATTATAAGATGATAAAACAAGAAATGCAGAGCTACTAAGTAAAATTCAAATTTATAATTTGATATGGAAACTGTTTAGAGAATAATAAATAACTTACCTGTGCAAGGCCAAGATTTAGGGTCTTTAGGTGACCTGAAATAATCTTTATCACACTGGCATTCAACAGATCCACTATAGGAAGCAGCACTATGCATGGGACATGGCATACAGAGATCATCTCCAACCTTCTCTTTGTAAGTTCCAGGTGAACACACTGAAACATTAGACAACATAATGATTAATCTTAAATAAAATAACTAAATGGAAGAACAATAATAATATCCATATTTTCAAGTTTAAGAGCCAACTTTAAGCATTGAACATTAATTTACTGTGTCAAGTCTTAAAATAAGGTAGTTTTATTAGGAAAAATATGTCTGATAAAAAAAACTTCTTGATGTGTACATACATCTAGAGCAAATTTTCTAAAATTCATTAATACAAATATCATAATTAAATTAACATAATAATAAATTAACATAAATATCATTTTAAGTGTTCTTCCACTGAGTTTTTCAATTACAAAACACATCAAAAGCACTATTTGATAGAACAATTTTGTTCTTTAGATGTTTGGTATACAGCTAAAAAAGAATCACAGGCTATTTGGTAAGCAACTAAAAAAGACATTAGACGCTACTTGATAAGCAGCTTTTGGACGTTTATCACTAAGCTCTTTGATTTTAAATGCATCAATAATAATCTATAACAGGAACTCATTTTACTACATTTAAATATGAAGAATAAATTTAAAAGATTTCAACTAATTGTTAATGTGTAAAACATAACACACTACACTAGTGTTACTATTGAAAGATTACTTTCCAATTTGTCCTTTCAAAAATTCAAAATAGACTACTGATTAATAACACTTCTAAGTTTGTCTTTTTTTATGGAATGTTGAAGCAACAAAAATTATATTGCTACAATGAAAAAAATAAAGTGCATCTTAATGTTAAATCTGGGTACTTCTTTAATCATTAAAATAACAAATTAAAAAAATTTAAAGACTTCGCTTATTTTACAGGATTTTTGTATTTACTGATAATTTTATATTTTGCATCATTAATATTCTGTACAATGCTGTTAACATTTTAAATTTTCATCAAATTTTTTGATATTATATTATTTACGTTTATAGATTTTGTACAAGCAAATATATAATTAATCATTTTTAATTAAATAATTAGTTGAAAAGTGTTAAAATTTACAAATTTTCACTTTATTTAATTATAATTTTTTATTTACTCTGAAAAAGAAAAATTATAATTTAACGTTTCAACAGTGGAAAACAGTTTTTGCTGGCACATCTATTTTTGCAAATATTATAACTTTTTTCTTTTTTTTAAACCAACTTTCATTGGAATTTTGTGGCAAAAACTTGTCAACCCTGAATTGCACTGTGTCAATAGAGGTAAAGGGAACCACAAAAAAACACATTCATTTTTAAATATTTGTATCTATTAAAATTATAAACAATAGTATAATTTACTATACATTTGGAATGCAAACGTTTTTAATTCCAATTTCTTAATTTAAAGGCTTTTTTACAATTGCTCATTACAGAAGGCATATTCAGAAAAATAATATTCAGAGCAAAATTGCTGAGTGTAACTACCATTTTCAATTTTACTGTATGTTATATTAAAAATTAAGGTATCAACAAATCTTAAATCTAGAACTTAGAGCAAACAGTTAAAAATGAGAACTTTATTTCGCAAATCTAACTTTATAAATTTCAATTATTTATACATTAATTTCAAAGTATTCTAAAACAATTTATTGAAAAAGATATAACATCAGTTTTATTTAACTTAGTCAATCTTATTTTTTAATCAACAATGGAGGGTTGATAAAATTATTCATCTTAAGATACTGATCTGATAGCTAAAAGGAATATTATTATTTTTTTTTTTTGCTCAAAATTATTTACTAAAATGTTTAACTGTTTATGACTAATAACTCCATTTAAAAGTAATTTGATGAGTATAGTCTTCCTTTTTTTTTTTGGTACACAAATATTATGATAAACATATTTAGATATAGCAGTGCAACTTACAATTAAAACTCTAACTATACTATCTAAAGATAAAAATAATGTTATGACTCAACTATTTTTAAATAACTCTGTTTTTTGGAACATGTAAAAAATATCATAACAAAAACGATAAAATCATTTTATTGTTTGTGTTGTGCTTGAGTAATCATCCAATCAGAACAAACTATTTTCATAAATTAGTTCCTGTATTATCAAACAAAACCATGCAATTATATAAAAATTTAAATTGCATTTATAAAGAATGCAATTTAAAGAATTCTTTCAATAGCATCACACTGGATAGACTTAGTTGTTATTATTAGCTAAATGTATTTTTTGCACAAACTATTTTAATAAGAGTTTACTTAAGACAATAGAAGAATACAAGAGAAAAACAGCAAGAGTTAGTTTAAAGTAAAATGCAATTTTAAATTTAATTGGCCAGGGGGGGGGGTCAAGTTAATGAGGATTTTTTGATTTTGAACCTTGGATTGAACTGCCAAGTAAAAACTTTTCGCCAAATACCTATTGAGAAGGGGGGAAATTTTTTTATTTTTATTTGTATTCTTCCTTCCTCTTTGAGAAATAGTCCAGTAGATACAGCAGCAAAACAAAAAGTGTTTCTCTGTAAAAATTAATACCCAAGATATTTTTTGATAAAAAGCTTTGTTATGCTATTATAAATGACATCAGAAAAAATTCCCTAACTCTCATCTATACGCTTTCCTTTCTTTTCTTTTTTTGCTTGCAGGAAATAAGGGTGATTAGAGAGGGGAAATTCGATTTTTTTTCTAAACAAACATGTGAGGCAGACGATCGGACTAACAGTTTAAAATTTATAAGGGCTTTATGAACAAAAAGTATAAACTTATGCTTACAGCAATTTACGTATCTGCAACCAATATTTAAACAAGTACGATTTTTTTTTTTTTAAACGATAAATCAGAAGAAACTATACGCGAGTCAATAGAACAAATAGTTCAAAATTTCAAATGTTATCGGACTATTTATTCTATTGGCTTGTGCACAGTCTCATTCGATTCACTGTAAAGAAATGCATAGGAAACAATGTCTCACTTGTTTAGATATCTATCAATAAAAGATGCGTAAATAGGTATAAGTATAAATTTGTACTTTCTGTACGTAAAACCCTTATAACCTCTAAGGTATTAGTACGACCATCTTGGGGTTGTTCTCATTAAATTCAGCATGAGAAAATGCATCTCAAACAATTCCTCACTTGCTTGTCTGAAACAAATTCGATTCTCCTTATAAGTCACCCGTTTACTCCTAAAAAAGGGGAAGTTTATCGGTATCATCAAAATCTTGGGTACTAATTTTTTACGAAGAAAAAGGAGAGTTTTACTAGACAAGAAATATATTGTCTTGCCCCCCCCCAAAAAAAAAACTCGATACACAGCACAATACACAGTTACATCTTATTGCCTACTTGAATTGTTTTCATCCAAAGCCACTCTTAAAAAGACGCTCGCCTGAAGAATTTGATAAATGCTATATTGTCCCAAGTGCAGAGATGAATAAATTGGATATTAATTGCAGATTTTTCGTTGAAAATGCACCCCTCGTGCATTTTATTATTATTTTCCTTAACAAATACAGAATTATTATGAACATTTTAAATTATTCTAAAAATTACTTTATTTCACTCTTGTTTCTTAAAAGTTTTCCTTATTTTAGAAATGATGCAATGTTTACCATATTTTGAAAACTACTTCAAAAGGAATGACTTATATTTTTAATATCAAAGTTTTTTTTTTTTAATCGTTTAAAATTTTCAATAGTTGAAAACGTCGTCAAATGTTTTAAAAAGTGGTCACTGTTAGAAATGCTACAACTGGCCACTAACGAAATTTCTTAACTTTGTCCTACAGACTCAAGCCTTTCAATAAAATAATGCAAAAACTCAAAAATACCATTTTATAACGAAGAAATTAGTTTGATCCACAAATTTTCAGCTCCAACCACAAATTTAATGAACAAATAAACAAACGATAATGTAAAAACATGTGTTTAACTTACGCTGGCAAGACTGGTCAACAGGTTCGTATCCAGCAACACATTTGCATCCTCCACTGGGAAGTGTCCAGTTTCCATCACCTTTGCACAGAAGACGAGGAGTATCCACTGATTCAGTATTGGCCACACACTGTCCTTCAGCGGACACAATAGCTGGAAGCTCATGACCAGTTGGTGTTTCAGGAAAGTAAGCAAAGTTTAGAGTGACTGAAGGGCATGTTATGTAATATACCTTGATGGCAATCAGCGACAAACATGCCCCCTGATCTCGAAACGCAAAGTAAACACCTTTTTTGGTGATGGGCACACTTCTGACTTCAGTGTTGATGATCACCTCACTTGTGGATGTAAAACGGCCTTCATCAGCCGCGATACGGTCTATGAGCTTATAGGAATCAGGTTCCCAAGGTGGCGGTTCTTTGGTTGCAGCGTCGAATTCATAATAAAGTAAGGAAAATGTCTCTTTGCAAGAGAGAGCCATCCCGGGGAACAGATTGCAATCTCTCATACTAAATTTCACTTCAATGTACATTCTATTGGCATCTCTCCTCTCAATGAAAGGTGTCCATAACCAGTTATTAACACTGTTATATGCTACATCACACACTACGTAGGATCGCCAATTGATCCCTTGTTCAAAGTTCGTAAAACTCTCCTCCACCCACTGAAACACATGAAAACAAATTTTAATTTAAAAAACAATATTTAAATACAAAGATTAAAAAAATAGAATGAACACGAATAAAAGATAGTAGTTCAATAATAGACAAAAAGCAGTTTTAATCATATAAACAACGCCAATGACTGTTAGATCTGAATCTTGGTATCTAGTAGATACCAGAGTTGGCCGTCGATTACAGTAAAGGATTACAAATTTAATCGATTACAGATAATTACTGCTAATCAATTACTTGCAATCATGATTACATGTAATCATATATTTTGATTACTTGTAATAATAATTACCCGTAATCGTTTTTGTTGCGATTACTTGTAATTGTAAATACTTGGAATCATGATTACAGTTGTAATCAAAATTTTGATTACAGCTGTAATCAAAATTTTTAGAAGTTGTAATCACGATTACAGCTGTATTCAAAATTCTGTTATCTTGTAATCATGAAGTAATTGATTATTGTAATCGAAAAATGTAATCGGTTACATTTTTGTCCAACTCTGGTAGATACTATCAACTGCATAAAATAAGAATAAACTGGGTTTGCCAATACAATATCTCTAAAAAAAATCAAAAAATATCTGAGATTATGTTATAAAAACTGTTATTTCAGAAAGACTACTTTTGCTCTAACATTAGCAGATTAAAAATCTAAACTGATGACTAAAAACTAATATATCATCAGTAAAATTTTCTCTTTAATTAGTTATAAGTATCATTTCCCAATTAGGAAACTATTAGTTAACCCTTTGATGTAGGTGCCTCTTTTATATATTTTTTCTGACGCTCTTATTACTAGGAAAAATATTTTTTGGTATTTTTTTTAAAAAAAATTAAAAACAGCCTAATACTAAAAAAAAAAACTGACACATTATCAGAATTATATTTGTATTAAAATATAAAATCCGAAAAAAGCAGTTTGAATTTTTTTTTCATTCATATTCAAAAAAATTTTAATAATTGATTTTGTAAGTTAAAAAAAATAGTATAATGAATTACTGTTTCTCTTAGATCTAAATGACTGCAAATAAATGCAAATTCGAAAAATTATTGTTCAGAAGCCGTGTTTGAATGATTTTACCTTTAACGCAGAAAATAACGTGTCTAAATTATTAAAATGTCAAATACAACATTTTTTACCTACTTTGACCTAAATTAATGCAACATAATGCAAAAAGTATGAAAAATATGTTTAATAAAAATTCTGCGTCAAAAGGTTGAGAATATCATATTCACTAGTGTTATCCAGTTATATTTATTCTTCTTTTGGAGCACAAATAGATTTAGAATTAAATATCAGCAATTTGGAAAGAATAAGTTAATAATTTCTGATTTTAGAAGTAATAATCTCATAAGTATTTTAAAGGCAAAATCAAAATTCACTAGAAATCAATATAACTAAGGCAGATGGAATAGATAGTTAACGAGTATTTTGATGTTAAGTAGTTGTTATAACTAAATCTTTTTTAACCTTTTTGTTTACCGTCAGTACAAGTGAACCAGTATGACAGGCTTCGTGCCGTATTCAAAAAAGATAAATAATCCCCAATTTAGCAAATAAAATAAAATAAAAAAATTGTTCCTTCAGTACAGGGGAAAATAAATAAATAAAAATTCTAACAATCTCAAAACTTCTATCAAAGATGGCAGAAATAGGTAGCTACCTATAAGTAATGTCAAAAGGGGGCAGTTGCACCCACATGAAAATCCAATAAATCAAACATTATATTTTGTTTTAAAATATTATTTTTAAAAAATAATAATTATAAATAATGTTGCATTAATGACCAATAAAATCTATTCAAATACATAATTTGAAAGCAAAATTTACATTTATTTTTTGGTAGAATACTTTTTTTACAAATTAGAAAGAAAAAAATTACTTTGAGAGAAAAAAATTGACAAAAAAAAAAAATTCTTTGGTATAAAAATTTAAAAAAAAGAAAAAAAGAACTAAAATACTACAACTTACTGTTTTTCCTCTGAAGCACGTATATTTAATTGATAGATTTTAAATAAAGCGATTATTTGTACGTTTTAAAATTTAAATATTGTTACAAATTGTTGTTTTAGTGGCTTTAAATTAAAATATTGAAATCGTATGTGAACTATTTGATGCGCACAAGACGGCATATCAAAAAAAGATTATTTCTCACAATAATATAAATAAATAATTTAGACAAGTAGAAAGTGAAACGTAAGTAAACGTAAAAACATGCAAAAATATATTTAAAAATAATAAATAAATAAAAACTTACTCCTGGTGTCCTGGCTTGAGGTCCATATGGATACCTCGTCCATTCTAAGGAACTTTCTAATGTTGTGTCTAGTAGTACCACTGAAAAATAAAAATTAATCAAATTAACTATATTAAAGCGACTAAACAATAAGCATATTATTTCACCAAAAATATTTTTGTTTAGAAAAGACAATTCCTTATATAGGTTTTTCTTTTCTAATACTGTTCTTTTTTTGGACTTAAATAATAATTAACTTAATTAATAATAATTAATAACTTAATAATATTAAGAACTTTTATTTAACTCTTTTTAAACATCAAAATGCAGCATAATGCATTATTATGGATTTGANTCAAACTGAAAAAAAAAAAAAAAAAAATTCTTTGGTATAAAAAAAAAAATTAAAAAAAATAAAAAATAACTAGAATACTACAACTTACTGTTTTTCCTTTGAAGCACGTATATTTAATTGATAGATTTTAAATAAAGCGATTATTTGTACGTTTTAAAATTTAAATATTGTTACAAATTGTGGTTTTAGTGGCTTTAAATTAAAATATCGAAATCGTATGTGAACAATTTGATGCGCACAAGTCGGTAGATATCCGTAAAAGAAGATTATTATTTCTCAATAATATAAATGAATCATTTAGACAACTAGAAAGTGAAACGAACACTATGAAACTAGCATGAGGAACGTAATAACATGCAAAAATATACATTTAAAAATAATAAATAAATAAAAACTTACTCCTGGTGTCCTGGCTTGAGGTCCATATGGATACCTCGTCCATTCTAAGGAACTTTCTAATGTTGTGTCTAGTAGTACCACTGAAAATAAAAATTAGTCAAATTAACTACATTAAAGCGACTAAACAATTTGCATATTATTTCACCAAACATATTTTTGTTTAGAAAAGACAATTCCTTATATAGGTTTTTATTTTTCAATACTGTTCTTTTTTTGGACTTAACTTTTTATTGAGAACTTTTATTTAACTCTTTCTAAACATGAAAATGCGGCACAATGCATTATTATGGATTTGAGCATTGTGTATATCCTATCCAATGGAACTAATTTACTAAAGTTACTAACTTAAAAAAAAAAAAAATTCCGCATGTTTTATTATCACAGCATCACATTTTTGTTCCCTAAAAATATTTATCTTCTATCATTCTGTACCTTTCAGACAATTTACTACTTTTAACTGATAAAAGAAATTAAATTGTATTTAATTTCCTTAGAATACAGAATGAAATTTTTATCGCATTAGGCTGTTTTTCAAAGGCTCAGTCGTCTTATGAAAGGATGCGCTTTTGCGAATAATATGCTTCACAGCAGTTATGAAAATTCATAACTGCTGGGAGTTCGCATCAGCGACTCAATTTGAATTTTTGATTGAACGAAAACATCAAATTTTTATCATTTAGAAACTTACTCCGATGTTGTATTTATTACCCGGGCTCATAAAAATTTGCAAAAACTGACAATAAAGCAGCGGTTTTGATAATTTTCATCTAAATGGGAAAATGCCGCCAAATTGGCGTCTTTTAGAAAGCTTAAAAACTTTAAAAATATTCAAGTTATTTATCCGTTCTAAAGCCCAATTCTTTAACGGCAAGATGGAATACATAGTTTAAAATTATAACTTAACTTCAAACGTGAGGCACTTAAACTGTAACTTATTTATTTATCGTAGCGAAAAAGTTTCGAAAATCCATGTTAACAGCAAACATGCAGATAATAACAAAGATGTTCACTATTACATATAAATAAATGAAAAACAATAAATTGCGCAATCACTAATTAGATATGTAACTAAAAGTAAATAGCCTAATCTATACATGTATTGTGAAATTGAGATATCAGTAAACGGGGGGAAAAAACATTAGCCTATATTTGATGATACAGATGAAAATAATATGTCAGCAACATTGAAATAATTAATAAGTTGATATCTTACAACATTACACAAACATACTTATCAGGGTCATCAGAAATTAATTAGGTACAATATTTGCATAAAAACAAATAGTGAATCAGGTTTATGTCACAAGCGATTCATAATTCCCCCCCCCCCACTCTCATTAGCCTTGAAATAATATCATGAAAAAAAAAAATTTTCTTCTGTTCTGAAACACATATTCATTGCCAGAAAAAAATATGCCGATCATCTGAAACTGAGAACAAGAACTTTTAAAAAAAAAAGTCACTAGTATGTCCAAGAAATGTTCTGGTCTTATTTATTTTTGGCCAGCCACTCTCCCTGATATTAAGTGGACGTAATTTATAGCTTGTCCTGTCTCTGGATACCACACGCGCTCCACACCCTAAAAGAAAGGAAGGCTCATCATCTAAAAGAAATCATTTTTTTTTTCTTTCTTTCCTCATCGAAACTAATAATGGTTCTCGTAGGATCCTTTCAATGACACCCTTACGTGATGCTCATACGAGAGTTAAATTGGTGAATGGAATGTTTCGATTGATGCCTCGTCTAGTTGACGTCGACGAGATGAGATGATGAAAAAAAAGAAGGAAAAAAAAAAAAAAAAAAAGGAAAGCAGACGATCTGAAATAAAAGCTGAATCGTTTGATTTTTTCCCTCCTAATCGGCATGGTGAATTTATTTTCACGTAGGCAGAATAGTAACTTTTTTGTTTAATGGGAGTGGCAACGGAGAACTTTACTGCTGATGATAAAAACCATTTTTGCTATATCATGTATCATATAAAATAAGAGTGAAAGGTGAATCTACTGCTTAATACTATTATCGGAGATAAAAAGAAAAAAAAGGTATGTATTTATTTATGCAAGCATCAACCTTTTCATTTCGAATATATAAAAAAATCAACAGCAGTGACTTGCAAGAGAACAAAATAAGCACTATCTTGGAATCAAACAAACAAGTTTGCTACTCATAATTTCTACACTAATAGATTAATTCAATCATTAATTTAAGTTGTTAAGGACCAATAGAAATGTAAATGGAAAGGTTTCTGTACCGTTATTTGAGCTAAAAAAGGTCGCGAAGTTTTGACAACCATAATAGAATCGGGGAAGAAAAGGAAGAAAAAAAAGGATAGGGCAAACTAGAAGAGTTAAACGCTTAGCTACCTCAGGGCAAGTGTTTAAACTTATTGGTAACTTATTTCAGACCAATTTAGTGATAGATATATGAAAAAAATTATTTTTAGCAACAAATTTAGCCTGTAAAGTAATCAATTTAATTAGCTGTTTCCTTTATCAAGAAGCTCAAACAAAATAAATAAAGTTAGCTGTAAAAAATTTAACCGAATCAATACTAAGTAAAACTACGATTTTTTCCCTCACGTGAATGTGTAAGTCATTGCACGTAGTTATGATTAGTTGCAAATTATTTTGGTTAAACATAAATAAGCATATAATATTTTTTGCCTAGAATATTTTTACCGTTGAAATATTTTCTCACGAGATCATCCGCGAAAGATTTAGAAATTATTCATTAAAAAAGAAGAAAAAAATCATAAATTAAGAGTTTCTCATTCGTGTACAACTTTTTTTAAAAAAAAAACTAATTTAGAAAACTACAACTCGCTTTAAGAGAATTAAGATTAGATCGCATGAACAGTCCAAATAAATCACATTAAAAAAAAAATCGCAGCCTAAAAAGTATACTTCCAGAAGAATTCTAGGATCCATTTAATGAATGAGAGGCACTTAAAAAGCGACTGCAGCGGAAATGGTACTTGGCACATGCGAATACAGAAATATACAATTACAGCAATCAAAGAGTGCGGTTTAAATTTCCGAGCTGCACATCAAAATATAGAATAGCGTGAAAATGCATTTCAAAAATAACTTCTACCCCTTCCCCCTTTTCCGGGACTTGTACCATATGGTTTTAAGCAGAGATAATCTTCTTTAATTTGAGATGTCTTCAATTTAAAACCGCGCGATGGAGTTGACATTTCAATGAAATAAGAAGGGGAAGAATATGCTGAAGTTTTGTCTCCTTGTTTCGCTTAATAGCTTCATCACGCATCGTCGCCAATGCAACAGGGGATCGTCTGTTTACGCCTGTTCCTTTTTTTTTTTTCCTTTCTCCACCCTTCCAGCAAAAATAACTTTTCACGCTTTCTTGGTGACAGTGACGGTGTCGGAGTTCATTTCTGTTCTTAAATGTTCCGAGAAGAACGAAACAACTGGATTTTATTATTTTTTTTCTTCTTCAACACTCCTATCTTTCATCTACCAACAACTTACTTAAATTGCACCCAGTAATTGCCGCCAGAACACATCAGCAGAAATAAGAACACAAATAAAAAACATTATTTAGTTCGGGGAAAAAATCCGTTATCAAATAAGAGGAATGACAAATATTTATGAAGTAATGAATTCGGCGTTATAATATTACGATAAATATCTGAATCGCTAAAAGCAAACTTTCTGTTGTTAAACACGCAAAATAATAAAGTGAACACTCCGAATAACTGACTATATAACCAAACACTCAATTAACTTTCAGGGGTCCAGAATTTCGCCCCTACGTAAATTGTTGGGACCGTATTATCTAGATTGTCCCGAACCCCATATCTTGATGGTCTAGCTTTCAAATCCGTCTAAAAAAAGATATGTTTATTTAGAGTAAAAATTTATCAAAGTTTGTAATATTATATAATAACTGAATTTGATCTTCAACAATTTCCAAAGAGATTTATTAAAAAAAATCTATTTTAAAATTTAAAATCACTTAAAAAATTCATCAATATACCCCTTGAAAAAAGAGAAAATTATAAAAATGTAATCAGTTTAGAATAATCCGGACAAAATAAGTATTTGTAATAGTAATCAGAATTAAACCTATAAACATAGATAATTTTACAAGAGTGTAATTATTATTTATACAGTGAATTAATTTTTTTAAATGGAATAAGAATAAAAAAGGCAATGTTAAGGGATGACAGCTTGTTTTCTACAAAAAAGTCAACGAGGGAGTATCAAAAGGCAGGCAGGGCGGGCCACCCTTCTAAAAACGCTTAGGGAGAATTATTTTTCTCAAATTCACAGAACAGGACTTTTTACAAAAATTCTAGACTTGGTTTTCCTCTCCATGTGACGCAAATGCTTGTTAATTCCATCAAAAAGTCATCCACGAAGGCAAATTTATACCAATACTTGATTCAGGAGTTCTCTTGTCTTCTAGATTGGGTTCAAAATTACAAGGCTACGGAGTTGAATATTAGTAGTCGTAAAACCAAAAAATTGGGCTGGCTGTTATAAAGTAAAAAGTCTAAACTGGCAACTGGTTTTTCAGAAAATCACAAAAGCGGATATTATTTTCAAATTTAGATAAGATTAGAAGTAGATTTTTCATAATTTCAAGAAAACAGAACTTCATACAAAAAGTCTGGAATAATTCCTGATAAGGTATAATTAGGTTGGCAATGATAACGCATTTTTTAAGGCTGTTTGAAATTAAGAGATTAAAATAATTAAAGACGAATTTTCAAATCTATATCCTCTAAAAAACAACAACATATTTCGGACAATAATGTTTACACTTCTATTATTTGTTAATTTTGAAACCTAATGTCTATAACTGTAACACGAACTATCTGCAGTGCTACAAGAATTTTCGAAAACTTTACATTGCAGAAGGTAGAGAAGTTAGCATAAATGGCTTCAACACACATTTAAATCAACGTTGTATCATAAGTACCATACATCAGTTGAAGCAACGATAAAAATGCTTAACATTTAAAGAAATCATCAACAGTATCATCTCCTTCAAATGACTTAACGTGTATTACATTAGAATTATTGTGAATAATTCTCAATAAACATAAGACTT